CCCCAGACGTAGGTTCCCGCACCAGCTGGTAACCGCCAACCGAACCCACGCCGCCGCCTACACCAGCAACGCTGCCCACGCCCACGCCCATGCCTCCCACCATCATGCTCTCCATCGACACTTGAGCTGAAAAACATACATAACATCATGAAAGAAAATAACACAATCTATCCAGATGTTAACTAAATTTAAATTTAAATTTTATCAAACTGCGTTACGTCACCAAAACGTGTGAGGTTTCGAGATAATGAATGATTCATTAAGTCAAATATCCATTGGTATGCAATAATTTTATTAATCTCATTACTTTATGGTGCACTATTGCATGGCAAGTAGTAACCGACCGATCACATGTCCCTGCGTTGAGAGCGGGCGCATTTGTATGCCGGGTGTTGCTTCCGGCCTGTCCAGGAATACGGGGCGATTGCCCAGCGGTGGGAATGAAAAGGCGCGTTTTTATAATTCGATATAAGCTAATGAAGATCCGGTCCCATAACAAACTGGTATAACCGAGGAGTTAACATTTAGAAAAGGCATGTCTGTATAATCTTTTTACCGTTAGATTATTGTAAAAGCCGTATTAGTGTTATGTGATCGCTGGCACACCCTTAGTGAAGATATAGTATAAAAGTATAACTCTGAGTTCGATACTTAAAAGTTACTGTAACCATAAATTACTTTGTCAAAAGGAAATTATCTCTGTTTAATAGTGTTAAAATGTTTTTTTTTATAACATGAGGTGGCAAACGAGCAAGCGGCCACCTGAATCCGCCATAATGGCGAAGCGACCGCTGCCCATAGACATCCGCAATTGCAGATGCGTTGCCTACACTTATACGACGGAGGAGGAGACGCACATAAAGAGGATATTTCCCCTTCCTATGTATCTCCTCTTCCGTCAAATCCACTTGCCCTTCCCTTCCTCTCCTTATAAGACAAGGGTGGTAAAGAGAAAGGGATTTAAATTAGGCCTCCGGCACCACACTCATCAGACGAAACACGGAATTGCTTCCATTTGACACCTGTCTTCTGTGTGGTCGTGATATTACACTGGGCGTGCCCTGCAGTGCTAAGATGTTAAAGCGGGCACTACCACTGTTAGAATGTTATGAACGTATACAGTTTATTTAAATACAATAATTACAAAGTAAAAGGTAACTTTTATTCAAATGAAGGTCAATTGAATAACTTTTAATAAATCAACATTAACTAATGAATTAATAATTAACTGAATATAAAAACACGATTTGAATAATTTAAAATACGATAATCGCTTCTAACGACCGATTTCATGCACTCGAGTGTAATTCCTGGCACGTACGTATGACAGAGACAGTTATATGTGATGTATTTGTGTGCGACAGGGATAGAACGATTGAATTAAAAAGGCGTTTATAAGCAAATCGTTTTAATTCGAGGGTCACAGGAGGAATGCGCCCCACGCGTTTGTAAAGCCTTTGTTTTAGAATTAACTAGCTTTCGCTCGAAACTCTGTCCGCGTGGAATTAAAAAAAAAAACAAAAGTGAGTACCGCTTATAACCTGATAGACGCCTTAAATTTTAAGTGATTAGACGCTGTTGCATAATTTAATTGCGTTTCAGTATTCGGCCTTTTGTAACAAATATTGAATGACTAACTTACGCTCGAGACTTCGCATGGTATTAAAAAAAGCCAAAAGTGAGTAGCCTATGTGTTCTTCCAGACTATCCTCTACATCTATACCAAATTTCATCGAAATCCGTTTAGCAGTTTAGACTACAAACTCTAACAAACATCCATCTAAACTTTCACATTTATAATATTAGTATGATTATAATTGTAAGGTAGCTGTAATTTTTTTCGCAGATTCTAAAATCGGAAGATATGTAATCTTCTACATACATATAATAAAATTAAGGATGTCAGTTTGTAATATCACAAAAAAAATTCAAAATTTCATGAGGATGATGTATTTGCTTTGCTAATAACGTAAGCCACATTTAAAATTTTCCTATCTGTCTGTCCGCAAGCCGCGTTTGTTCCGAGTACTCCGTAACGGCTAGACCGATTTCGACCGAACTGAAGGGTAGCTGACATAGACGGACACATTATAAGCTTCTTATCTTAATATTGCGTACATAAAGTGTCTAGAAACTTTTTAAACAAAATCAATAGAACAACCGTATCCATAGGTTTTACAATACCCATGCATTTATGTAAGGTTCCTTTACTTTTTGAGTTGTCATAATGGTATTTATGTTGATAATCGAAAACTGAATTTTTTACTTCCGATAAAAGAATATTTCTTTTTGTTTTCTGCATTTGATAAAATGCCGTAAAAGATATTTGAATTTTTTTTATTGCTGTTTTCATCATGCGGTAGGAGGAAAATTCTAATGTTTTATTTTACTCTGCAAATTTATTTGTTATTACTCAGATCAAAATGTTTGTTTTTAATATATTTACGAAGTTTCTACCCTTTTACAATCAAATTGAAAGATGTGGATTTGTCTATTTTTTACGAACTTTTATTGATACAACCTAAGAACAAATCTAACTGGAGCTAAAAAGATTATTCTTTAAAAAAAAGCGCTTACATATTTATATTATCTATCGTGCGTGAGTCCGATATATTAATAAACGCTCAATTACTCACTACTTACAAAACTTACAAAATCGTGCTTCATTGCATTCTCAAACTACAATTCCTTTTTTTAACATGGCAACTATCGCGTGAGGTGTCAAATTCATAACCGTAAACCGTTAAGAGCGCGAGTAATCGGTAAAAAAAATATTGCAAAAAGTAATTCACAACACTAAAATTAAGAGGCGGGGCAACTTGCGACCACCTGGGCGCGAACGCCGCGATCTGATTGGTTGATTATACCCGTGGGAGGAGTCAAATGGGCGGGGCGTAGAGGGCGGAGCGCGTTGAGTAGTGATGCCCACTTGGCCTAAGTTATCGGTAAATGAGTTTTATGATTTTTTTTAACGGTTTTTTTATTTGTGATGATGGATTATTTATGGCTGTTAGACGGGAGTCGTTTGGAAGCCGTTAGTACTTGAGTGAGATGACAGATAGGACGAATATAAACGTTAGTAATTTACTATTTGTTTAAGAATTCCAACCGAATTACTACTTTACTAATTTTGGATTGTTCGTTACAATTTTAATTATTTATATTATTATTTTATTGCAACCAAATATTTTGCGCATGTATATAAAATGTTAGCGATAAAATCTAGAGATACCGAATCTTTACACTTTTTCTGTTTTTTTTCTCGATTTGAAATCGAAATCTATTCGATTATGTAAAATAGAAAATACATCATGTAAAACGCATCTCTTGAATTTATTAGAAATTGTTATTTTGTGCGATGTATTAAAAAATACATTAAATGAGAATTGATTTTTTATCTAGATGTAATTCATAAAAATTTTACCAAAATAACAGATACTTCTGAAACATTTGTATTCGATTGTTTTTTATTCCATTGCTCCTTTTACTGCTAATTTATTTTAAAACAAATGTAATGTTGGATTTCGCCCGCGTCTTTGTGCGAAATTAATTAACTTGGTAAGTAGGTTTTAATTTTTTAGACTGTCTATGCCAAATTTTATATACTTTCATAATTCATATTACGTATCGCAAACATCCATGTAGGATATGGAGGTTAAATACGTCTTCTTTGAATATGTTTTCCTTTTAATTGATTTCGAATTTTATATTTTGACGTTGGTTTGAGAGAAAAAAGAGGAACGACGATGTATGAAGATGTGTTTTGGAAAAAGGTGCAAATATTTTTGTATGTATTGAAATAACTCAAAAACTACTGGACCGATTTCAAAAATTCTTTCACCATTAAAAAGCTATGTTATCACTGAGTAATATAGGCTTTACTTTTTAATTCCACGTGAACGAAGTCGCGAGCAACAGCTAGTTTACTCATATTATAAGTCTTTAAATATGCTTTGACAGTAAACATTGAACTCTTAACTACTATTAATAACTATGCATGCGAAAGAAACTACAGATACAGAAAAATGTTCATATTTGTTGTATTTTCAATTTAAAGTCTCTTCAAGATAATAAAAAAAAGTTAAAAAACCCGACTGATTGTCCAGACAGACACTCCAGAAGAAAACGAATCGGATGACATCTCACTTTTAACAGTGGTAGAGCCCGCTTTAACATCTTCGCACGAATGGGTCGGCTTGCCCGGTGTAATACCACGACCACACAGAAAACAGACGTGAAGTGGAAGCAATTCTGCGTTTTTTCTGATGAGTGTGGTGCCGGAGGCCTAATTATTAGTCCTCTCTTTCCACCCTTTTCTTAAGAGGATAGGATGGGAAGGAAAAGTGGATTCGACGAATTTACATTCATAAAAATTAAGATTACTATTATAATATTCTCAAGATACGAGTTTCTTACTACGATTGGCACAAAAAAAAAAGTAACACGAGGTTTTTTTTCCACACTACCATATCACTTCAGTCAGCCCGTGTACAGCGCATGCAACTGTGTCGAAATATCGGGAGCTAAAAAACCCAATAGGGAATATGCATGTTTTTTTTCTTTTTTTAAACGATTCTACTTGTTACAAAATAACCAGAAAAAAATGGACGAGGAAATATTCAACCATTGAGCTAAAAATAATAAAATGACGACCATTTTCGAATGACTAAAACGCGACCGGAATTATCATGAGACAATTGACGTCAATCGTCATATTCCATTCATAACGTACGCTCAGATGTCACTTCGACATAAAAACAACAAAGTATCTCTTTGCTTCTCACGTTACATTAAAAAAATCTTTGCAGGAATGTTTTTATAGTAAAAAAGTATACTTTAAAAACTGGTACAATTTGGCGTCATATGCATATTGCCTATCTTGGTAAGAAACCAGTATCTTACGAACAATATATTTGTAAAAACCACGACAGTTTAAAGTTATATACATTACTATCTTTGTCTCTTAAAAATTCAATATTGTATTATTAATAATAGAGCCATCGAATTTCATTACATTTGAAAAAAACTTCGAATCAAATGTCTTCCGTAACAAGACAACGTATTTAATTATCGAGAAAATGTTAAGTATATAATGTATATTGTATAGCACATAATATACAATATAGAAACTTCTAAATTAGTTGTCAAGTCACACAATCTTGTAAGTAAACTTTTTTTCAAAGGTAGTTCTAAAGAAAAAAAATAATTTTTACCTCGCCTAATTCTGAAAAAAGCAATAAAAAAAACAACAACCTACGGCCTATATTAAAACAAATCCTAAACACTTCGTAAACGCAGATTACAATCTGACAACGCCATATTTTGAATTAGCTTTCACCAGCGACTCCGTTCGCGTGAAATAAACAAAAAAGTAAGTATCCTATGTGTTCTTCCAAATTTTCTACATTTATGCCAAATTACATCCAGATACGTTCAGCCGTTTAGGCTACAAACTCTAACAAACATCCATCCATCTAAACATTCGCATTTATAATATTAGTATGATAGAATTTAGAGTTTAAACGTGGCCTTATCAATTTACTGATAAAAATGTCGTTTCTGTTTTTGTCCGTCAATCTGTCTACCTTTAAATGTAATAATAATCTATGGTTATAATTCAGAAAACTATAGTTACTTATAGTAAACTGGTTTTATAAAGAGTAAATAGAAGTTACGTTCTCTAGAGCAAGGCCGCTTTGATAAACAGTACATGCAAACTTTTAGATTAGATCTCTACCACGCAAAACAATACGGCTCTTATTACATTGGCCACCTAACGTTTCATTCGAATTACCAGTGCACAAAGAACCTCCGTTATTGGGCATTAAGTATTTTATGAAGTCCAAATTAGAATGGACGTGTTCGGAATATTTTAGCACACTAATGTAATGTGACCTCTCTCGCTGTTCGGTTATAAAAGGATAAGAGATCTTTTTATGATGGAATGTTATACAGCCATTGATAAAACCATCACAAGTGAAACTTGTTTTGCTGTTGATTTTTTTGAATTTCGTAATGAATGATTTTATATGTTTTTTAATTAACTTCTTATTTTTTAAGTCATTAAAAGTATTTTTTTTTTGTTATTAGCTTAATTTTACAGTGCGTTTCGCGGACGAAATAATGAATTATTTATTTTTCGTTTAAATTGAACCATTTTACATAAAATTGAAAATAGAAAAGTAAATCTTTTTTTTATTATCTTTTTTTGTTGAATAAGAGGTGTGATTTAAAAAAAGTATAAGTGAATGCGGTAAAAGGAAAGAAAAAAAAGTAACACAAAAAAGCTGTTTAGAAACAAAAAATAAAAAAGTTAAAAAAAAAAGCGCGCGAGAGAAGACGTAAGCGGCAAGTTGCAATGCGGCCACCAGAGCAACATGAGCGCGCGGAGGTGCGGCGGCGCTCGGCGCGAGCGTGGCGGGGTGGGGCGGGGGGCGCGGCGGGCGGGCGCCGAGCGTCGGCGGCGCGCACTTGGCGCGCAACTACCAGGCTAGCATGCATCGGGAGGGGCTCACCTGGGTACTGCCAGAGCGGCGCGGGGGGTGCGGGCGCGGGCGCCGGCCACGCCAGCGGGGCGGGGCGCTCGTCGCACAGCACGTTGGCCACGCCCACCGTCATGGCCGCCTGCGCCGCGTCTGCGGTGTGAGAACAGAATGACGTGGCGCCTGCAATGTGTCGCACGTGTTACTACCTCGCATCTTATGATGTTTTGGTCCTAAAACTATTTTACTAATTCTACAATTTACAGTTAAAAGCAACTAAAGCAAAGCTTAGTTAAAATCTGAGAAGGAATACTACTTTTCTTTAAAGACATATTTTACTAAAATCCAAATTAATAGTTACTAACTACTAAGCAAATATTAAATACAAAAATTGTATCCTTTCATAACATCCGTAAAGGCACAAAAAGACTTCCTATTGATTTAATATAGATCTCTGTAAGAAGTATTCAAAAATCTTAAAACATCGCTACACTAGAATAGTTATTTAATTTGAAATACATATTTACTTAAATACTGGTTATTTAGTTGCCTACGTATAACATTAATTATTTTTATACCCGCTATTCATCCCTTTCTGTCAGTTTTAACTACAGTTCGTTTTAAAAATTCAGATATGTGGAAGTAGTCGTAATATATGAAGGATCATAGAAAACAAAACTTTTCGCAGTCTGACAATACCAAGGGGAAAACGTCTCTTAGAACTGCGTGTTAACTACTTGTCTAAATGTAATAAACACAAATGCATTTAAAAAAAATAACCTAAGTATTATCCACCAATATTTTTATATCCCTAAAGGTCAAATCTGTTAAGACATTCTTGATGGATTGGAACCGATAATCTTACCCAGAGTTTTAAGTCTGTGTCCCACAGTGTTGTGAGCTAAACGCTATATTTTAAACTATAGAAAAAAAAACATAAAGGATTCGAGTTTAATACCTAAGTGAGAATAATCGGAAATGTATATAAAAATATCCGTTTCAATTCAATGTAAGAATTGTTTGTTTTTAAGTTACAAAACATTAAAAAATACATAAGTCGAATTGCCGGTAAACTTAATAACTTGCGGAAGTTATTTATGATTTAACAAAACCAGGAGTATCAAATTAAAAAAAAAATATTTAAAACTTTTAGAGCCTGTCCCACCACTAGCTGATAGAGGCTCACGTCACTGTCAGATAATGGAACAAAATCCGATATTTTACGCGTTGGATTATTATCAGACAATTTACAATTTGGTGGGAAAGGCCCTAAATTTTAATTTATCAATGACGATATTTGTGAGTCGCATCGGCTGTATTATACGATTATACGACGCACACCGGTCAGGATAATCGCGTAATTATAGCCCGAGCCGACCCGGTTATAACCGGTTTCAGTTCCGGAGAATTTATATTACAGACTCAATATTAAATCTTTGAGATCGATCCGGATTTTTTTGGTATGAAACAGAATACAGAAATTATTCAAACTGTATATATTGCAATCTTTAGATCGAATATCGAAAAGCAAAATAGATTCGTAATGCAGACACAAGTAACATAACTGAACAGTTTAACTGACAGATGAAGTTTTGTCTCACCCACAGATTTAAACTGATCAGTTTGATTGTTCAATTAAAACTGAGCGTATGTAAGTTTTTGTTGTCCGTTACCCAAGTATGTCCAATGGTTGGTCTAGTTCTACGAAACTGGACTGGCTCGTGATTATATCTACTTCACCGTGCTATGAGCTCCTAGTATTAGCGCTCGTTTCTCTTTCTGTTGATGATGTAACCAACCAAGTAATAATAATTTTTACCTATGTTCCATCCATATTTAATTTCTCCTTATTTAGGATTGTTTTTCTTTTTTGTGATATTTTAAAAAATAAGTTATTTTTTCCCACATTAAAAACTACTTCACGTTCAATTTTAAATGACACGACTTATGCTTTAAACATGAAAACTTAAGCTGACGCGGCAGCAAAAAGTATGACTCAAGAATATTACGAAAGGGACCACGTGTTAATGATATTACTTGTCCATTCGTTATGATAGTATAACATTTCATTTGATTGCAACAATCGCACTATAAGAAAAAAAATTAATACTCTATGTTTTCCATTTAATAAAATTTCATTAACCCTATTTCGTTAAGATATTTAATGACAAATTCCAAAAAAGCAAACGGAATAATATTTAAATTGGTCTGGTCTATCTTCCCGTTATCTGTACTCTGTCGCGTCGCGTATCATTTGACCTTCACCGCGGCGTCGTCTGTCCGTTGCATTCCGAGCGTGCGCTGTCTCGCTCGCACTCGCGGCGCAGCGTGACGCGGCGCCTCGATATAACTCCTCCTAGTTTCTGATCGCCTAGTATCACGCGCGCTGAAGAAAAGGGTTTATCCGACGCCAAATGACCACCGATGAGCCCCTAGGATTTTCCAGCCATACTAGTTTTCCGCCAATACAAATAGAAAAAAGCTATGTAAATAATTAACATTAAAGTATTAAAATCAATGAATAATGATTTAGTAATAAATATTTTAAATCAGCTGCTAGTAGATTTGCATTAGCTTCATTTATTTACTTAACTAATCCATAGTAGTTGTTATTTTGATGATAATATTAAAATCTAGGTCAAAGATAAAGCGTGATCTTAGAATAGAGGCGTCGCCGCGTCGCGTCGCTTCGCGTGGCGCGGCGTAGACATTACCGTGTAAATATAGACACGGCCGGCCCCACGCCAACATCTACTACAGCTGCCCTAGACGACAGTTCTTGTACTGTTTTAGAATTATACATATATTATACATTGCCAAACTAACAAAATAATACAAATAATCGTGTCAAAATGCTCTTATAAAACAGACCTAAATATAGACTATGTATGGTGTTAGACCTTATACTACAAACTTAAAAGCTAAATGAGGGGTTATATAGAACAAGCTTAAATAATTTATAATACAGTGCAACAATAAACAAATTGATCACTATCTATAATTGTGAGTACACAAGTCAAACAACGCCGACATGCGCTCGGTAATGGTGCACTCCACAAAAACTATTTTTATGCAAACAAAATATATGGGATAGCAAGATAGCGAACCCTTGTTTAAACACCCCTTACCTAAAAACTTACATTTTACCGCTAACAACAAAAATTTACTTTAACCAGTCGGATTAAAGAGTAAATTCGCTTGTTGGCAGAAATTGTAGGCTTCATAATACATTTCGATCTGAATTTTAGGCGTGCATTTGGCAAATTGAAAAGTTTACGGTGGGTGCAAACGCTGCGTAAAGTGGTGGTAAGCTTGCCACATGATATATACCGATTATAATATATTGCGTACTGGCAAACATTTACTAATATAAATTTATACAGTAAATTCATACAATATACCTGAAAAGAAAAATAAGTTATTTTTTTTTCATTGTAAAAAAAGTCACTATTCGTAACAAATTCATACAAAAAATTTTGTCGTATGCGTTTCTTAATTGTATTTTAAATAATAAACGATTTTCAAAAACACAAGCTCTACGTTTTAATACAGAAACCTCTATCATAAAGGGCATTTCAATTATTTTTTCACCTTGGTAAAAACCAGTTGGAGTTGTTCGGTTGTACAAAAGTATAATTTAGTAGGCATGTTAGTGTGGCGAATAACATTCTATGAAGCCACAGTAAAGCAGTACGTCTTAACATTAACGACCGTACTACAGAGTGTAACGACGCCAAATTACACACTCCTACGACTTCAAATTACAAACACGACGGCCAAGATTCAAAAAGTAGACTTGCGACTAGGCTGTTGCCTCTGAGAGATCACCACAGCATAGGTATGTTTGATTTTAGATTACGAAACTAGTATTTTAAATAATCTTTAAAATTCGAAAGTAACTGGTCTGGCTATTTAAGAAACAAAATAATTTGTTCTTGCCTAAAAATCTAATTTACTTTGGTAAAAGCTATTTTTAACCTTTTTGTACCCAAAAAGTACACAAACAAACCCACGCCAATAAGAAACCCGATAGAAGCGACACGGCGCGGTGTGTACCAGGGGCACAGCGCCGATAACCGGTGAGCATTCCCTCGGCCCCCGCCGGCCGGGATCCCGAGGCCCGGGGAGAATTTTGTCTTGCTCTCTTTAGGGTTGGCGATTTAGTATGCTTAATTTTACTTTTATTGCAATCTTGTACATGTTTTAAACACAGGAATCGATTAATAAATGCCAACTTTAAGTAGCGGCATTAGTATTAAAAATTCTGACTAGAATATACCAAACTTACAGTGTTTTTTTTGCCAATCAATGTAATTCTTTAGAGATATTTTTGTTTTAAGTGTTTGTCATTTGTAATTGCCAGTAACAACGCGATTACATAAAATTTTATAAGTAGCAAAAATGTAAGTAAAGTAAAGTAAATATTATTAAACGTTAGCACAGCCCTGAGACGTGTAAGGCGCGCCAAATGTTTGCAGCGTTTGTGAGCGAGGACAGAATTGGCGGGATGTGATTAGAAATACTACGACTGCCCACCCCACGGGCGCGGCGACGTTATGTGCGCTATGCGACTGCTAGCTTCTGATTCATTAGTCACGCGGTAGTAAACAGATACCATTCGATTGGTGTTTATTTTAAAAGTAACGCGTACAAAATCTAGCTTCGCCTTAACATCTGAGTAATGTTCAATCAACATCAGAATTTCTTAACTATTTTATTTTCCAGTCAATACAAATTGAGTGAGTTATGTAGCGCCACTTTATATATGCTATTAGAATCATTATAGACTCGTCAGTCATCGTCAGATAGCGATATGGAGATTGCTTGTTAACTTTGGCCTGCGTATACGTTCTCATAGACTTTATTGTGCAATACGAAATAAATCTTATCACAAAGCAATAACGTACAAAATGGTTTGTATTAAAACAAACATCGATAAAGTATTTATCTGTGAGTTTTTATCGTCGATTTGGTGGCTATTGTTAGATTTTAGCTTAATAATATTATACGATTAAGAGTGTTTATGTAATGGACATGAAAATTTTTAATTTGTATTTTTTGTTCAGTGAAATTTCAAGCATTTTCAAACATCCCTATACATCATTCTGTAGCACGAAATAAACAAGATTGACGTAGGCAATGTGCCAAATAGTTAGTTGTTAGACCCTTACAATGTTGCCTAAAAAATTGTACGGGTAATTATATCTTTACAAATAATAATTATTTTCCACAGATAATCACAAGATTTCACACTCCAATTCATCATACGGGCGGCCATACTTTGATAAGATCAGAAATTAAATGTGACCGTGCATTAATACCAGAACCGAAAATCAATAATAATATGTCGGTGGCAATGGCGACCCTCTTCAATACTTGAACGCAACAATAAACACATAATTATCTCCCCCAACAGGGAAAATGCATTCTATTATAAAGCAGTAGAGCTGACATTCAAGTACCAGGGTATTATGAATTAGAGAAGCATTCAGTGTTGCTTAATTACAATGTGACGTATGTCAAATGTTGGTGTAGGCGAAAATAGCTACTGACAGTAGCGAAATAATGATGACTATCACGTGCGGTGCTTAAAGGAAACGCAATAGAAGATAATAAATGCCGCAGCAAGTGGTCGAAAACTTTGGGGGGTTTTTGATGACAGATATAATTATTTGAGCTTCGAATACCGGGAAAATAATAACATCGAAAATAGTTTTATTTTGGCTGCAACATCACGAATGACATGTTTTTAAAAGTGTTTTGTCCGTATAAACGCAATAAAGTAAGTAGAAAACAAAACATTTGAAACCGAGAAATACAAAAAAAACTTTCAACAAACAGAATTTTCGAAATAGGAAAACATAAATTAACCGGTATAAATCCATTCGCTTGACTACTGGAAAGTTTGCATGTCTGTACATCATCAAGCAGCACCAGGCACGCAGCAGGTGACTTACAAAAACCTTTAAAAACAATCCGAAGCGCGGTAAAAAGCGCGCGGTATGAAAATTCATGGCGTAAATTACCCCCGAGCGGTCTAATCAACGTCATTGTAAAACTGATTAGTGCGTAATTAAATGCAAGTGCTTTCTAATTCTCCGAATTTTGTAATGCGAATTGATTTTGAATTAACCAAGTAGGTAATTTCGGAAGTTCACTCCGCAAACATTTCTATGAAAACAGTCGTATTACAATGTCAAATGTCCTCGGCATGCTAGACATTCGTTTATTAATTTAGTCGCTTCGTTAGGGAGAGAAGTTTGAAATCAATTTTAGTTCTTAATTTATGAATCCCTGCTATCTCTCTTTATAATTATAAATGTATAATGGTGGTTTAAATTGTATGGGAATGTAACGTAAATTGAAGTTAGAATAAAACTTTTTAATCAGTTTATACTTGGCAGGTGGCTCCAGGTTGTCGACTCGTGTAATTACATGACATCGCATGCGGCTCGCGATTGATGTATTTAGCATAACATTTGCGTCTTAGTTTATTAATGTTAGGTAAAAAGCAAAATTCTTTGTAGTCCATTCATCGTTCACTAGCTAAAATAATTCACTAAAAGAGTATTAAAAGCTGTTTGTATTTCGGCAATTTCATTTATTTGCATTCATTCAAACCTCTTGTGAATTAGTTTAAATTAGTTTTCCAGTCACGATGGATTCTTGATTAATAATTCCGATCAGATAAGTCGCGAAACTTGTTACTATGTGTGTTAAACTGGTTTCGTGCTTATGTACTTAAAATTTATAAATTAGTGTAGTTTATGTTGAAAAAAATATTTACAAAGTCGGTCAAGTCGTTTTCTTCAATGCCAATCTATCGAATATCGATTTTATTTTATACAGTATAAAGCTCAAATTACGTTTGTTTGTACGTGGAAGATTTACGTTTTCCAAGTTAACGGACTCGTAGTAAATACATGATAGTACTAGGCTAGCAGATACGACAAGGAGTTGTTCAATTGAAACACGATACCGAGCGAGACAGCGCTTTAAACATAAATTAGATGCGCATACATTTACATTTCTTAAGACTACTCATGGAATATGATTCGTGTGGAACAGACATGCGTTATTTGTACACATATAGGAAAGGCGTGTAAGGATCACCCTAAACGAAAATATCGATTTTAGAATTCATTTACAAAAATCTGTTGGTTGAACTGAAAAACATAGTTTTGATTTTAAAAAAGTGTTAACGCCAACTTTAACTGTAAATTGTAGAATTGTATTCGTAAACTTATGGAAGTTAAACCAATAATAATAATATTTATAACTCACCAATATCATGTAATCTCTGGTTGTCTTTCTGCGAAAGCGCGGCGAGTAGGCCCGCGTCGCCCACGCGCTGTCGCGCCACCGCTATGCCCACGGGAATCGAACCTGTCACAAATACTAGGCGATTTATTCATCTTGTAGAGTTGCTACTATGCTATGACAACCAAAAAGGACCAGGCAATCAAAACCAGTTTAATAGCTACAGTGCACTAGGAAATCATAAATGTTTTGTTCTATTCCGACTCAAACAGTGCAATGCAAACGTCAGTGCAACGTCACAGTTACGATTTATCTATTGATTTGTTAATTTAACATTGAGTAATTTACAATTTTGCTAATCATTTAAAAGCGTTAAATAAAATAATTTAAAAATATTTAAATGACACCCACTTTTATACAAGTTTTATTTATAACTTCGATACGATTAAATTCCGATATTACGCCTACGTCCCGACTCTTGTGATTACGTATTATTACTGCGCCAAATGACCAGGCAAACATAAACACACGTGTAGTAGGTACATGGTATTACCGTTGTTAAGCGAGGCGGGTATAGCGGGTATGTGCTGGTCGGGCTTGGTGCCGGGCGAGGCCTGCTCCAGCTTGACGGCGACCAGCTCCGACATGTGCATGTGGTGCGGCTCGCGCTTCACCTGCACGTGCACGTTCTGACCCACGCCCAGCCACGTGACCGGGTTGGTGCGGCTGCACCCGCCTTCCGCTTGCACCACCTGAACACACCGCTCGACGTTTATGTCGCCCTGGTACACGAGTTGCCACTTGTTTACATAACTTTTCCATTGTACGTTTTGCAAACCAACCGACGCAACTCGATACGGCTAAATTCATTTTAATTAACAATGTCATTGATAAACCTTTAATCAGCTTGTTAATACATAAATAAATTGCCCGCAGATATATAAGTTTTACAATCGATTTTGTTTGTTGTATATAACAAGGATTTAAAGTCCAATTAAGCAGCGGATTCTAGTTATGTTTATTCGGACATAATGAGGTTTAAATTTGCATATTCAAATAGGTTACATAATTACAATTATTTTTTCTCAGATAAAGATTAAAATAACATCGAACCTTTTTGGGTGAGTTAGTGAGGCAAGTGTTGCAGGTGCGCTTTGCCTGCTCTGTCTTGATGGTGAGCGGCTGCAAGACGTCCCGGTCACCAGGGCAGCAGAGCTCCGGCAGGCATGCCTTGCCCAGCTTGCCATCTTCCATCTTGTTACACTCCCTGTTAAACAAACAAATGTGTTATTAATAAATTGTGAAATTACATCTACAGGATGTCTTGATAGGTTGTTAAAATTGTAAAAAATAATAACATATTTAACCACAATATAACGAATGGTTGGTATTTCCATGAAACCGTTAAAGAATAACGTCTATCTTCGTGCAGGAAAACCAGCGGTAGTTATGATTAAGGAAAATATGGTTTCTAATTTTCTGTTAATAAAATTGGATATAGTATCGAAAATGCGGAAAATATTGATTCTTCATCATACTAATATTATAAATTTGAAAGTATAGATGGATGTATGTTTGGTAGAGTTTGTACCCTAAACGGCTGAAGGGATTTCGATGTAATTTGGTACAGATGTAGAGGGTAGTCTGGAAGAACACGTAGGCTACTTTTGGATTTTTCTATTAATTCCACGCGGACGGGGTCGCGGGCGAAAGCGAGTTGGTTAAAACATATTTATATTCCGCCTATTTTTGCATACAAAGTATGACAATGTTTTTGCCGGTGTCAGATATCCTCTTGGAATTGTTATCGGGTGCGCAGGCGCCGATGTCGAGCTTCTCAGAAGGTTGCGAGGTCTGTCGACGTGGCGTTTTTTGATACCTAACGACTTGCAATGCCATTGAAACTTTATACAGGTCAAAACAATAGACTTGGTTACGTAACGGATATTTGAACCTTTTGTGAGTTACTTGTATGGTATTTTACATAGCAACATTTAAGCTTGCTTTTGCTAGTCTTAGGTCAATGAAAACTTTAACAATAGAATTACATAGAAGTTGCTTTTTATAGCAACATCATGAATGCTTTCACCCGCGACTCTGTCCGCGTGGAATTAAAAAACAGTGAGTTACCTAAATGTTCTTCCAGGCTATCCTCAACGTCTATGCCAAATTTTGAAACGAATTCGTTAGTGTGCCTTAGATCTAAGGGTATTGTGTACTAACTTGTCAATAAGTAGTCGCTGGGAGCAGGACAGCAAGTCTAGTGGCAGCGGAGAGTAGGGCGAGTGCGGCGGGGGCGTGGGCGCGCCCAGGGCCAGCGACCGCGACACTACGCTCTCCGACACTGCACAGAAAGGACAGTATATTAAATTAGCATAGAAACAAAGTGGTTACTAGGACATTAAGATTACATATAACAGAAGCTGCCACACTGGCCAGGTAGTGGCGGCCCCTGAGTCCTGGGCTCCTAGGAACTGGCACGTATCAGCCTTTGTTGGTCTAAAAGCATGTCATTATAGAAGCAAACAATACGTCCATCGTGGGAACATCATTCGGTGTCCTAAATGACGTCACATTAGGGCCCGTTGCTGACGTATAAATAGACGCAATTTCTTCTACTCATATTTAGAATGATACTGAAATGATACTGCATTTAGAATGAATGGTAACTTAGGGAATGCCTTAGTGTAGTTTTAGTAACAGATATTACATTACCAGCCAAATGCTGAGACGAATTCTAAATCGCGTCGTGAGCCGCTTATAACCTGATAGACGCCTTAAATTTGAAGTGATTAGACGCTGTTGCATATTTTAATTGCGTTTCAGTATTCGGCCTTTTGTAACAAATATTGAACGACTAACTTACGCCCGAGACTCCGCATGGTATTAAAAAAAGGCAAAAGAGAGTAGCCTATGTGTTCTTCCAGACTATCCTCTGCATTATACCAAATTTAATCGAAATCCGTTCAGCCGTTTACGCTACAAACTCTAACAAACATCCATCTAAACTTTCGAATTTATGATATAAATCTGATGATTTATTTTAGCAGGTTGTATCTATTTCCTCAATGATATTACGCATACAAAATGTCAAAACAACTACAGTCAAAACCCTCAAAGATACATTCTCAATACTTGTTTCAATAACCTGAAAGTGTAGCCATTAAAATAATTACCACTAAGAGATAATCAGGGTGTACTTTGAAGTGTTGATTAGTGCAGAGGTTCTGAGAGGGTCGTTCCCTCCGCCCTCGCTATCGATTGAGGCGTTGCGAAGGGGCTGCAGTACGGTCATTCGGAATCAATAACCAATACAGAGTCGCACACAGAGTGTTTATGTGATCACTACGTTACCTTAGTGGAGATATAGTAGAATAAATCTACAATAAGCGATTGATGGACTCGGGGAGATGCTACCTGGCATCTATACTATTATAATAAAGCGTAAACACACACTTCTTTGTTGCCTAAGATGTCAGCAATTACAGAATATTTTTAAATAATTCTTTTTTAAATAAAAAGCCCGGCACTTATTTCATGCTTTAGGCTATATATTTTCACGTTATTAAACTTAGTTGATAAGTAAATTGGATAAAAAACCTAATGTGTAAAGGAACCATAAGTTGCTGCCAACATCAAGAAAGCAAGATTGCCATGGATTGTCATTATTTCATGTCATTTTGACATTTGCAATTGATAAATTGACAAATGTAAACGATAAAATGAAGTTTTTATAAATACCTGTGAATGAAACCGCATGAGAATAGCTAGTATTTTAAACATACACAGTTTTATTTTTTGTATTCTATGATCGTAAAATGTTTAGGATCTCAACTTGGTTCAGCGGACTACATAACTGTTTATACAATTCCCTTATCTGTTTAGTCCGGGATCGCTAACAGTCCTGTTTAACAATTAGAGCATAAAAACGCAGTTAGTGACCTCAAAGCTGTCTATGAATTAAGAACATTTTACTGATCAAAAGCTTATGAGCACAGTCGGACAGATGGCGCTGTGCACTCGGCTTGTGATTACAAAGCTGCGGCCGGCCGCGCGTACTGCCTCCGCCTAGATGCTCACAGATCAAAGGAATATGTTACCAGCGTGTTATGCTCGCCTGGTATACAGCATCCTACACTTTACTTATTTCAGTCTGGCGTGTACTGGGAAAAGTATTTCAAGGGTCTGGAACATTCTAGAAACATCCTGGAATGCTATTATAATAGTGAATTTTGAAATTATTTAAAGAGTTTTCAGTCGGAGTAAATATGAGTAGAGTAGTAAATCTTCACCGTTCATTTCTTCATCTTAAATGGTTATCATTTTTTTAATCAAGAACTGTTATAAATATTTGTAGTACTTGTATGTTCTACTTATTAAGTACAAGCTATACGTGTCTAGATAACAAGTAGACACACTATGTTGTGCAAACATCTCCCACACCCTAACCGCCCTCGAGCAACGACGGTAAATCTAATGCAACCAAAATTATAGGGGTTGCTAGGAATTTAATCCAGGCATCTAATGTGTTCCTTAATATGTTGTCGACGTAAGCGTTAATAATACAAACGGTAATTAACGTTTAAACAATTTTAATGTATCGACCTTCGTGATACTTCGATATTAACCATCTTATACATAATTTTTTAGATTGCTGCAGTTTTTAGATCGGGTTATAATCAACTAAACGTACCAATAAATACGAAGGCATAAGCATCTCCTGGCTGTCTTTAACTCACTTTACATGAAAATGCGCACTAGGTTTACCTCTAGATCGATCTAAATTCCGACATGTCACATTTCATCAATCCTCACTTTTTCAGACCTATTTTAAATAATGCGTTCATCCACATTCGTATTTGCAAGCAAACATATAGATTTAATCTAGATTTCGGTTGTCAAATTTTCACTAATCTAGTGGCCCCTCGTCATATATTGTTGGTTAGTACAGACTATCTTCATATTTAGAATGCAAGCTGTCATAGCTGTCGCTCAGGACGGCAGGCAAAAGATTTTTTATTCGATTATCATATCATTTTGCGATATCTTTACATATATTTGATTTATAAAGTTTACTAAAACATATTCTGCATCTCTTCTCTGGTTACCATTATTGGTAAAATGTGTGATACAGGATGGGAGGTCGAAGAAAAAAACTGTAGGTATTGTATACAAGATGTTCAATAATGTAGATTGTAAAGAGCAATCAATGGTAACCCCACTACATCCGGTATCGATCCAACAGCCCCCGAGTGATGGGCAAACAATAAGCCCGCATACACACTGACACTCGGGCACTCCTTGACGGTGCTGCATCCCTAGTGATTTCCAAAAAAATATCATTTACCCATACTAGATTATTGACATTTCCCTGGTTCACATTTAGCCAGTACAGTTGGACAGTAGCACTTATGAATGGGCATTCAACTGGCTTAGTATGAAGACTAACTGGCGCCAAACATACCTTACATGCGCGACTGTACTGTACTGATGATCCAAATCGATCCAAAAATAAATACCGAAAACAAAAGAAAAATTTGCGATCGTTTCTATTCCGATCGCATATCGCTAATAAGCAAAAATAGTTCGAAATCCAACTCCAGTCGTTAGTTTCCCTATTCATGAATATTGTTTACAACTTTAGCATTGGAATCTTTGCATAAAAACTAGACACAGTAAATAGACTAAGTGTTAACTTAATTGACAAAAAGTACTGACCTTTATGCACGGTTTGTCTGTTTGTTTGCGCGGGGAAGAGCGAGTACAGCGGGAACCGGCTTACACCTGCAGGATAATAACTTGTTACACCCTTGTTTGTATGCTTTGTACCTACCTACCTATAAGGTGCAAATGTTAAACTAGATTTTAAGTCTAATAAGAAATTAATTTGTCTATCAACAGTCATAATCAAAAATAACTAATAAAAGTAGTGAGTTAAATTTGAATAATAAAAGTTAAAATATAAAACTTAAATTGCATTTAGTTACTTTAGAAAAATAGTTTTAATATAGGTTTATGAAAATTAGTAAAATTTAAAGCGGGCGTTCATTTTAAATAAGTTAGATGAGTACCAGGATGTCATACCTTGCTGGAGGTCAGCGGGCGGGCGGGAGCGGGCGCCCCCCGCCGCCCCGCCCAGCATCGCCCACCGTGCGGGCCCACCTCACCGCCTGCGGACAAACATACATTTTAATATCTACATACAGAAATGATAGAAATCTGCGTCATACAACTACATTTTAATGAAACATTTCATAAATTCCACAAATAATGAGATATTCCGATAATTTATCTATCTATCTATACATATAATACAATTGGTGTGTCTGTCTGTAATATCAAAAGAAAAATTCCAGATTTCGGGAAGATGATGTATTTGTGTTGCTGATAACAAAAATTCGAATTTAAAAAAAATCTATCGGTCTGTCTGTCTGACCGCAAGCCGCGTTTGTACCGGGTAATCTTCGAGACGGCTGGGCACATTTTAACCGCACTTTTACTAAACAGTAGCTTACATAAACGGGCATATCTTTTTTATCTTAATATTGTATTAGTACGTAAATAAAAACGTGTCATGAAGAGTTAAATTTTTAATATAACGTATAGGTAATTTGTCCCAAACATCCTCTAGAAGTATTGAAGGGTAGGATGGGGTCAAATTACAAAGCGCAGCTTATCAGCAACTACAAGCAAAAGCTTTTAGCCGCGCGCAATATTTCCTTCAATCAATGCGTTGCACAGAGTACACTGCGGTTGTAAATGCATAGATTCAATATTTTTAATATTTGTAACTATTTTCCACTATAACTTAAGATATGTAATACTTTATTTATACTAATATTATAAAGAAAAAAACTTTGTTTGATTGTAATGAATAGGCTCAAAAACTACTTTGCCGATTTTAAAAATTCTTTCACCGTAAGAAAGGTAATTTACCTCTCAGTAACGTAGGTTATATGTCGCGGGCAAAAGCTTATCAAGAATATATAGAAATAACTTGTAATTTCTTATCCGGCGTTTATCTGTGCGTAGCGTAGGTCACATTTTTTTCGTTCCTTTATTATTATTTCACGTGGAGTCGCGGGAATAAGATAGTAAAGAATATCCTTATATTTATTTCCTTAAATAACTTGTAATTTCCTTCCCGGGGTCAAATTACAGCGGTTAAATTGTACTATTAAAAAACATGTTACGTTAAACGTGAAATAATATAATTAAGGTGTCACAATAAATTTGAACGTGACTATTTTCAAGTCAAAATTATCGTAATACTTAAATGTTTCGACTAATTATATGAAATTATTGTTTAGACGCACGCTCATCAAAGGTCAGATGTATATTTCACTTGGTTAAAGCGTTTAAATGATTTGGTATTCCAATAACCGTTGAGATGTACCTATCAGAACACGGCCTACCCTACGGTTCACATTCTACACATATAAGAATTCAACTCTAAAAGTTAACAGATAAGGTTTAAAATTCAATGTATTCGATATGTCTAAACGTAGGCGGTTCATCGGGACAGATAAAAAAAGCTTATATTGTTCCGCGTGCTATTAACGAGTGAGAGATGTTAAGAATAAATTACGTTAACCCATTTCAAAAGTTTTTAGGGCTCGAGTTGTAAACGGGATTAGAGCCTTCGGGGAATTTCGATGGCGGTTCAACTCTGAAATGAATTCGGAAAAAATGTTTACTTTTTTATTTGTGAACCAAGAATTTAGCTGTGTTTGATGTGCTGTTTAAAATTGTACAAGAGAGAAGTATATTTTCATATTGCAATAAAGCACACACTTATTTGTTGTTTATGTCGGCAACACACAGCAAAACAACTATTTTCAAACAATTATTGTTTTATAAAAAGGCTTACACCTACGACATGCTATAGGGTATATATTTTCACTCTACTAAACATAGGGGGTGAGTTAATTGGAAAAAATCATTCAGAGAAAGGGGCAAAACTACAAGCTACATTGCTTCTTTGCTGCTATATACTGGCGTTACATGGCAATCTTGCCATGGTAACGGTAATTATAATCCAATCGCAGTTCTACGTTGTAATTAGAATTTTAACACTTGTAATTGAAAGGTTTATGGAATGTAAATATAAAAATAAAGTTTTTATAATGTTATGCGAACCGCGCGGAAACAGCTACAGTATTGTAGAATATTTTATAGTAAACTAGCTTTCGCCCGCGACTCCGTTTGCGTTAAATTAAAAAAAAAAAAAAAGTATGAGGCCTATGTATTCTTACAGACTATCCTCTATATCTATGCCAAATTTAATCGAGATCCGTTCAGCAGTTTAGGCTACAAACTCTAACAAACATCCATCCAAACTTTCGCATTTATAATATACAAGCTGTTACTCGCGACATCGTCTGCGTGAAATAAAAAATATAGTCTATGTTACTCATAGATAAATTACATTTGTAACGGTGAAAGAATTTTTAAAATCGGACCAGTAGTTTTTGAGTTATTTCAATACAAAAATACAAATCTTTCCTCTTTATAATAATAGTATAGAAGATTTATAGGATATAAAAGCATTGTAATTCTGTCTTTCAAGTATATTTAATAAACAGTAAAATCGTATGCGAATTGCTGATAGAAAACCATGTTTGTAAATTTATATGTAAATCTTGTTATTTTTGTATTTGTTTATTCATAAAACAGCATTGTTTTGGAAACAATGGTCGATGTGAAACGCTTTTACTTTGTTGCGCTTTGTTATAATTTGCTGTAAAATAAATATTACATTTCATAAATGCACATTTTATTATAATCGAAGTGAGCTTTTTTTGTGATTGAATTGCCACTGTTTGCCTTGAAGAGGCATTTACAGATTCACCGGGCTTGAGGTGGCCGAGCGCATGGCGCTTAGCCTAAACCTCGTTTATGAGTAACTAAGCTCGAGGGCTGGGTGTGCGTTGTATTACACATTGTTAAATTAAAAATAAGTTAAAACCAAGCAAATACAACTTAAGAAGAATAAATAACAGAAATAAGTAATTTAGTAGAAGTTTTGTCTGTGGAAATTCACAGTGAAGACATTAGGATAACATAAGTAAAAAAGTATTCAATTACCACATTAATTTAAATTATATTCAACACTGATATAACACAAAAAGAAATAAAAAAGTATTCATTGATAAAGTTCCAATTCGCAAAAGACGACGCGATAAGTTTTGCGGCCGATGTCGGAAGTTTCATCTCTCTTTTGACGGCAGGAAGCAGGAATTTATGTATTTCATTTGGGAAATAAAATAATTTTAATGAATATGAAACTATGAATAACTGTTTACAATACAAATGTTATACCTAAATTTTCCTTACACGATGCCAACACTTAGATTAAAATTATTAAATAATTTACAGAACTTTATAACTTAACTAGCTTTCGCTTAGGATTCCGTCCGCGTAGTTTTAAAAAGAAAGAAAGTGAGTAGCCTATGTGTTCTTCCAGGCTATCCTCTACGTCTATGCCAAATTTCATCAAAATCCCTTAAGCCGTTTAGGCTACAAACTGTAACATCCATTCATCTAAACTTTCGCATTTATAATACTCGTATTAGTAAGAACTAAAAAGTAAGAGATAAATTTAACAAAGTATTTAAACAGGTCTTAGTCAGCATCTACCAATTTCTTACTTAAAAACGCTAGACAATAATAAAAGCCCGTATAATTAAGTCATTTCAAGTTATGAACAATTGCTGGATAAGTGTAAATTAAGTAGTTAAGTGAACGCGGGCAGTGACAAGGGTCCATCCTTTTCCACTCAGAGATGATTACATACGTAAAACAGGACGAACGAAAACTTTTTTATATATCCATCAATTTAAGGATTTCCTTTGCGAAATAACATAATAAAACAACATTCGCTTACAAAATCGTTGATATGCATTACATTAAAAAAAATACACGACTTTCTTCATCAAACGTACTTTAGTTTATAAAATAATCTTCCAAATATATAAAATATAAATGTTATATATTGCCATCTCTCTCACATTTACTGGAGGAACAGAGACAACAATACATCTAACTAAACTTACAAATTAGCACAGATAATTGCAATAAACCAAAACTGGCATATTTATTATTGCTTTACTATTCAACATTGTTAAGATAAATCGTACGTATTTTTTTATACAACTTGAGTTATTTCAATACATACAAAAATACAAACCTTTCCACTTTATAATATTAGTAAAGATAGGTATGTATATAAATTTTATGTTACAAGAATATGTAAAGGAGTACCTTTAAAATCCTAACATCAGCGTTGTAAATCACTTTGCTGAGATAACATTCTACTTTCGTCTGTCGATCTGCCGGTCACGGAATGGGCATATTTTATTGGAATCTAGCGAAAATTGAGGTTTGAATAAGAATAAATCGTACCTTTCTGTCCTTTTTGGGATGGTTATACCTTTTATTCACACTAAAAGAGCCCTTTAAGTAAAATACTATGTTAGATTTTAGCTTATTGGCAGTCTTACCAAATTATAAATTGTCTGACAACAATGTAACGTATAAAATATAGGAAATATAGGATTTTGTTTATCTGACAGTGACGTCATTTTTAAGCTATCTGAGCCTCTATCAGCCAGTATTGGGACAGACGCTAAATATTAAAGATTTTACAACTACTCCTAAACTGTCTATATCATCTGTCCATGCTTATCCTGCAAGAGGGTACAGCAATTTTCGTCCTCCATGTCACTCTATCTTCGGACATCCTAATTTTTTCTCTAGTCTTTTGTCGGTCAAGTCTGATTTCTGAGAAAACATTTTACCGCATCCAAAAAGTTTTAAAAGCTCCCTTTAATTAGATTTAACTCCAGTTAAGTTAAATGAGTTCAATTAGCTTATAGCTCTCGTATATTTTAATCTGTGCAATAGTCGGAAATCTAAATACTTCGTAATCTTTCATTTCCCTTCCTTTATTGCTTCCTTTTCCCTGGCTGACGTCTATTTGTCAAAAATCGAGTATTAACATACAAAATAGATGTATAGTTTGGAGAGAATTGTGGGAGTCAGAGTGGGGGGCAAATTGTGCAGCTGCCCTAGACTCTAAAAAATGTAATACAGATATGAAACTTGGGTTTATTTTATTCAAAGTATGTCTTACTAGTTTAA